TCATCTCTTTGAGCTATTTTTACCAGAATCAAAGAGGTAACAAAGTAAAAAAGATAAAAACTTGATTCCAACATTCTCATCCCACAACCTATAGGAACCAGCTATACTAACTAAAAATGGAATAAAAATTTTAAACTATCTCAAAACCTCTCCCCAAAACGGAAAAACAACGCCCCCGTGCCCGAGTTATTGTCGACAGCATACTCGACCCGAACAAGGCCTACCTTGACACCAGCACCATACGACGAACCATGCCCCATTCGCCTATATACCTCGGTCGGGTTTCCCTTCACATCCTTCGAACTTCCAAGATCGTTCCCGTGTTCAGCAAATGCATATACATGTGTGCCTTTAACCGGGACTCGTAGCTCAGCTGCAAGCTGAATGAAAGCAATAGGAGCTAGAAATTAGAATGCTCCAAATTCATGTTAAGAGTCGATTAACATTCTCGTGGACGTTCGAGATTTACCTCGAGGATGTTTCGTGCTGCACCGAGCTCACCCATATTGTAACCCCTCACAGAATAGGGTCCTCCAAGGGTAAAGGCATCATAACTTGGAAGGTCTCCTACACAGCCACCATAATGGCCATGGAGGACAAGCACAGGAGGAGGAGGTTTGCCAGCGCCTTCCTCGACCTGCTTCAGCTGTAAAAACCGTGTCAATGTAAGCTGGTGACGGTTGAAGAACGGAAATTTGCTGCCAACTCCGAGGCCTTGGTCTACCTGTAATATACACGAGGTATTCAACAATCAGCCACAGACAAAAGCTGTTCTACTCCCTTTTCGATGTCGATTAATCAGTGTTCTTTCTACCCATTATTAGTATGTAAACGACGCAAACAGTCGGTTCAACGAAACAATGAAAGGGTAACAAACACGACACGATGCAAATATTAAGGACTTGCACCTGAAATACGTTCCTCTCGCCAACTATAGAGCCATTGACAAATTTCGTATTATCCCGCGTTATGTTCGCTTGTAAAAATGCCATCCGATCGGTACCAGTCCCGCTCAGAGTCGTGGGTGGTCCATCGGCACTAATACCTCCACCAAGCAACGTCCTCTGACCATTCGAACAGATATTACTACTTTCGTCTCGTGTGATTACCTCCTCCATTACAAGCCCGTACGTAAATTTGCTTTGGCGGGTGAAATTCTATTCAACAAATGGCAACAACATTAGAAACATTGTTTCCAAAATATGCTACAAAACGAGATAAGCACCTCGGTAATATTAGCTTTAACACCGGCTCGATCGACCCATATCGGTGGAACTTCATCTGCCCCTGGTCCACCAGTGAAGACAGGACTCAGTTTTCGGCTGTTGAAGCAACTAACTCGAAGTGTTCGATTACGTGGGTTATAGACACCATCGAAATATGGATGCACGTACTCGAGCTTAAACGAAAGGTCATCCTGAGGAGATTTCATCAGAAGTGTTTGGGACAAATAGCCAGAAGCAGTGAAAGAGAAAACTAAACAATAATACTGACCTGGGGATTGAAAAAATTACTTGTTGTTATAGTACCAAGAATCGATCGATTCAACCCTTTGATATTTCGATGTTCGAAAGTAACCGTTCCACCGGGCTGCAGTGAAGCCTAAGAACACAAATCCCAGAAACATGTTCGATCGTAATTCGAATCTAAACGGTGGTAAAAGTAAAGAACATAGCATAACAAGGCATAACGTACCAAAGTGGGGCGTCCACCACGCCCAGGAACAATGCTCCATTCTGAACTGACTTCAGCGGTTTTTTGGTCGAGTTCTTTAAGTTTAATTTCGACGATAATCCCTCCTTCGCTCTTCTCGTCGGGTCGTGGATTCACTTCAATATTGGAAAACAAAGCAAGCGAGTTGATGTTCCTCAGAGCTTGCTTTCCTGCTTCTATGTTAAAAACATGGCCCGGACGAAGCTGTGACACGATTCAAAATTTTGAACACATAAGAATGCCTAGCCACCCAACGAAGTTACAATTGTGACTCTATGAGACCCTCCCGTTAACACCGTTACCTAAATGATAAATGATGATGTGACGTGCTTATCGGATATATATCGAACCATTTGAAACAATGAGATGAAGAACAATAGACAACTAAACAAAATAAATAGAGTGACGGTTTTAAAAAGGATTCGATATATATGCCACATTTTTTTTGTCCCATTTTCGATTTCCCTTCTATGTTGTGTTGAAACAATTAACGTTTCTACAATAGCATGTACGATAACTGTAATGGCACAAGCTCACCACTAACAGATATTGTCTTCTTTTGGTTTCAAGTTTTAAAACGTGTCTGCTAGGGAGAGGTTTCCACACCCTTATAAAGAATGTTTCGTTCTCCTCCCCAACCGATGTGACATCTCACAATCAACCCCCCTTTGAGGCCCAGCGTCCTCGCTGGCATTTGTTCCTTTCTCCAATCGATGTGGGACCCTCCAATCCATCCCCTTCGGGGCCCAGCGTTCTTGTTGACACAATGCCTCGTGTCCACCCCCTTCAGGACTCAGCCTTCTCGCTGGCACATCGCCTAGTGTTTTGTTCTCCTCCCCAACCGATGTGGGATCTCATAATCCATCCCCCTTTGGGTCCCAATGTCCTCGTTGACATTTGTTCCTTTCTCCAACCGATGTGAAACACCCCAATACACCCCCCTTTAGAGCCCAATATCCTTGCTGGCACACCGCCTTGTGTTCACCCCCTCCAGGGCTCGGCCTTCTCGCTAACACACCACCTCGTGTCCACCCCCTTCAAGGCTCAGCCTTCTCACTAGCACATCGCTCGGTGTTTTGCTCTCCTCCCCAATTGATGTGGGATCTCACAATCCACTCTCCTACAGGGCACAGCATCCTACCTAGCATTTGTTCCTTTCTCCAATCAATGTCAGACCTCCCAATCCACCCCCTTCGGGGCCCAGCGTCCTTGCTGGTACACTGCCTCATGTCCACTCTCACTTCAGGGCTCAGCCTTCTCACTGGCACATAGCCCGGTGTCTAGCTCTGATATCGTTTGTAACGGCCTAAGCCCACCACTAGCAGATATAATCCTCTTTGGGATTTCCCTTCCAAGCTTCCCCTCAAGGTTTTAAAACACGTCTACTAGGGAGAGGTTTTTACACCTTTATAACAAATGTTTCGTTCTCCTCCCCGACCGATATAGGATCTCACAATAACAGTGTTAACCCCGTCAACTACATATCGTCATAGTTAAGATAAGAAAAACACACATGAAACTCCTTAAAGTTTATGAACTAAATGGGGCCATAACCATCAAACTTTAGGATCAAAATTTTAATTGAACCAACAATTATTGAAACAATCAAACACCTAGTGAAGGTTATATAGGATTCTACCTGTTTGGGCAATTCCCTCCTCACCACAGGGAGTTGAGTGTTTCCCTCAACAACATTACCAAGCTTGTCTTGGAACTGAATCACCAGCTGAGTTATGTCCCCTTCCACCACCTCACAAACAACCTCTTTGGTATTCAAATTCCCGAAATTCACCACCTGAGCGCACGCATACCCTTCGTCGTGGTACCATTTCTGCACCGTGTCCCGAATCTTCTGCAAAAGCCTCGCACTCACCTTACCACGATCCCTCAACATCCTTAGCACCTCCCTCTCCACTGACTCTGGTAACAAACATGGCCTCGCCCTATCAATTCTCCTCTTGTATTCCCTCTCCTGGCTCCTAAAATACGCCATCTTCTCCTTATCCGTCATATCGGCATCCATTTCCATTGGCTTTGACTGCTTCATCAGACCAACATTGATACATCTAAACCTATTGGCGGACTGCCATGTACTTTCATTGAACGAAATTGTGATACCAAGAGTACCATCAGCGTTAGTTTTACCTTCTAAATCGACCTTCTCGAACATCCCACACGTCACGAGGTTTTCGAGCTCTTTCTGAAGCTGAGCTTTGGAGTATATCCCACCAGGTCTCAATGAAACCATCTCAAAGAACGAGTCCTCGGTGCCGACGGTGGTTTTCCTCCGGCGATCAAAGAACTGAATATCAGAAACCTTATATTTCTTAAACCCACTAAGCTTATTTAGCTGCACCACAATGTTGGCAGGCAAACCATGAGAATCCCATTCCCGAGTCTGTGGCTCGTCCGCCAATGCAGCAGGGGAAAAGAATCTCCTCCAAAACCCGCCGCTCTCGTCACCGCCTCCGCCACCGCCACCGCCTCCGCCACTCCCTCCACCAAAATTCCCATCCCCATTTCCGAGAAACGAGCAGAATTTGAGAACAAGGGTAACAGAGGACGACAGAGCAAGGGCTTTAACGATGGATTTGATGTGAGGTTTGGAAGGGTTGGATTGAACGGGTTGTGGGGTTTGCGAAGAGGAAGATTGATGGCATTTCAAGGTGGGGAAATGGGGGTTGTTAGAGACGGCGATTGAGGGCGGAATCCGGCGGCGGCGGCGGGAAGCCGGTGAGTTGGGGAAATTCGTGGCAGTGGGGAGATGGGTTTGCGCGGCGAGGGCTGGCATCTTGGATCGAGAGGCAAAAAGAAGGCGATAAGAAGAAATCGGAATTTTGATTTTGTTCTTCTGCTCAATTGTCTTCTGTTCTTGCTTCTCTTCTCTATATCAGCAATTTTTTTTTTAGTATTTTGTTTTTTTAAGGGCGACTTTTTCAACGTTTTTTATTATTCTAATACTAAATTATTAAAAACTTTAAATTAATAAAAATACTCTTTTTAATTTCAAAAAAATTTAAAAATATCTTTACAATAGTTATATTTATAAAAAAAAATTTAAAAATTGTTATAGACTACTCATAATTTTTTAATATTATTTTTAAAAGTTTATAACTAATCCTATTTTAAAATTTTAAAAAAATTAAGAAATTTCAAGTAAATTTTTTTAAATAATATATATTAATTAGTTTAAAAGTATTTAAGTATTTTTGAAATAAAAGTAAAATTTAATGATATTTTTAATAATTTAATTAAAATTTAAAAGTAGAAAGAACGAAAGAGCCCTAATTCCACGAGCTTGAACGAAGACGAAGATAAAACGGTACGAAATTCCTAATTGATGTCTCAATAAGTCGCTTGAATCATACTTCCCAGATTAATCCAGAGTTGAGTTCAGTCCAATTCGTTTGGCCTCTGACTCACCGGCTCTCTCTCGCCGTCGCTGCCACCGCCGGGGAGCGTTCGGAGCTTCTTCTCTCCCTCAGTTTCTCCCCAACCCATTGCTTACAACAACACAAACCCTGAAAAATGTCCGGCGGGTTTTTCCGGGTAAGGATCGAAATGAACTTATAACTTAGTTTTCAGCTCGTTTCTTGGTTCTTTGTTTAATCCCAAACGAATCAGCGCGTTTCTGAAGCCATGTGTTCTTGGCTGGGCGAGTGTTTAGGGGTTTGGGTCTTGATTGGACAAGTTCTTTTTAGTAGCTTTCATTATCATTGTGAAGTGAAGAACTTCCCAACTTATTGTTCTTGTTTATAAATTGTTCTTTGTCTTGTTAGATCAGAATTATCATTTCATAATTAATTTGTCTTTAATTGTGGATTTTTCCTGTATGTTCTTGGTATTTTCTTGAGATTTTTATGGACGTTTTTGACTAGGGTACGTCTACGGACCAAGACACTCGTTTTTCAAACAAGCAAGCAAAGCTGCTGAAGTCACAGAAGTTCCCTGCTGAACTAGACCAACTGGTTCGTCGTTTTCATCTTCAAATTATTATGTTGTGGTAATTGCAATTGAGTGAAATGTTAATCTGTACTGCTATGAATGTTAAACTATTTTAAGGGTTAATTAGTAATTCTTAAGCACGAGTGATGTGTCTTAGGTTGATACGACAAAGGTGAAGATGGACGTTATCAAGCCGTGGATTGCTACGAGGGCGACGGAGCTTCTTGGGTTTGAAGATGAAGTTCTTATTAACTTCATATATGGCCTTTTGGATAGCAAGGTAATAAAAAGATTTTTACTGTAGAATTGCAGGCAATTTGATTGCACAACTTTTTCGTATTCTTATTATTACTTGAGTTCGATAATTGCAATATGGGATATCAAACCATTAACCCTTAAGATGGTAATAAGTACGGAGCTATTAGATGATAAAAGTCCCACATTAGCTAATTTAGAGAATGATCATGGGTTTATAATCAAAGAATACTCTCTCTATTGATATGAGGCCTTTTGGGGAAGCCCAAAGCAAAGCCATGAGAGCTTATGCTCAAAGTGGATAATATCATACCATTGTGGAGAGTCGTGTTCATCTAACATGGTATCAGAGCCATGCCCTAAACTTGGTAGTGCCAATAGATGGGTAAATCCTCAAATGTCGAACAAAGGACTCCAAAAGAAAAAAGGAGTCGAGCCTCCTCGAAGGCATAGTAAAAAATGACTAAGACTCTAAAAGAAAAAGGAGTCGAGCCTCAATTAAAGGGAGACGTACTTTGTTTGAGGGGAGGTGTTGGATGATGAAAGTCCCACATCGGCTAATTTAGGTAATGATCATGGGTTTATAATCAAAGAATAATCTCTCAATTGATATGAGGCCTTTTAAGGAAGCCCAAAGCAAAGCCATGAGAGCTTTTGTTCAAAGTGGACAATATCATATCATTGTTGATCGAATATCTCAAGGAAAGAACACTTGTTTGAGATTCGAATCATTCCACAAACTAGATTGATCATGTCGAGCTTGAATGATTCTACATGCAAACTAAAGTACATAGAATTGCAAAGAAACTTAGCCATTACAAAGATGACATACATGGCTTGATATAGCCTCAAAATAAAAACCCTTAACCTTCTTGAGGCATTCCAAGAGTGGTAACTATATTTCATGACCATAATTAGTCACCATGTATATTTTATGGCTATAATTAACTACTGTGTAAATAAACCTTAAAATACATTAAATAAATACTATAACTCAAAATGATGATCCACTCAAAATTTTTAACAATGAAACATCTTTTGGTAATTTTGACAATATTTTCTTCACATCTTCCTTGAACTTTATGTTGCATGATTGATGTCTTGGTTCATATCATGTCGTTCCTTTCTGAGGCTATTGAATGGTGGTTCGGCTCAAGACATACTACACTAGTGGCATGTGGCAGATGAATTGAGGCTGTCCCAGTTTACTAAAATGCATACTCTATAGAAATGGTTTAAGCTGTACTGTTCAATTTGCATCAATTGACTGCTTTGGTACAGGAAGTGAATGGGAAGGAAGTTCAAATACAACTCACTGGGTTCATGGAAAAGAGTACTGTGAAGTTCATGAAAGAGCTTTGGACACTACTTCTAAGTGCCCAGACGAATGCCAGTGGTGTACCTCAACAATTTTTGGATGCCAAGGAAGAAGAAATTAGGAAGAAGAAGGTTTCTTGATTTCGTTAAGTTTTATTGTATGGCTAGTAGTTACGTGGATTGCTCGGTGTCTTTCAATTGATTAGTTCTCTTTGATTATTATAGGCAGAGACAGATTTTCTTGCAAATGAAATTCAGAAAAAGAGAGAGAAGGAAAATAAAGAAATGGAGGAGCAGAGATCAAAGAATATGGTAAGTTGTTTATTTATGTTGGAGTTGTAATTGATTGGAATTGGTTTTTGGTCATAACTTTTCTCTGTATTTCCTCTGGCATTCAGCTAGCTTCTGCAATTATTTGGGTTCATGTCCTTTACCTCGAACTACTGTAGGACGATGGGGCTGAAAAGGTGGCCAATTTTGTATTGGAGCCTACGTCAATGAATCGTCCAGAGGACGAGGAAGAGGCTGAAAAGAGTAATGGTGTTAGGGGAAGAAGCAGGTAATGACTTGTGATAAACTGATTTTCAGATTTAGTGTGATGCTTTATTTTTGTACCGTTTAAGATATGATGGAGAAGCATTTTTGTGAGATCCCGCGTCGGTTGGGGAGGAGAACGAAACATTCTTTATAAGGGTGTGGAAACCTCTCCCTAGCAGATGCGTTTTAAAACCTTGAGGGGAAGCTTAGAAGGAATTGCCCAAAAGAGGACAATATCTGCTAGCGGAGTTGTTACGAATGGTATTAGAGCCAGACATCAGGCATTGTGCCAGCAAGGATGCTGAGTTTCGAAGGGGGTAGACATCAGGTGGTGTGCCTGCAAGGACGTTGGGCCTCGAGAGAGGGGGGTGGGAGGTGGATTGTGAGATCCCCACATCGGTTGGCGAGGAGAACGAAATGTTCTTTATAAGGGTGTGGAAACCCCTCCCTAGAGACACATTTTAAAACCTTGAGGGGAAGTCCAAAAGGGAAAGCCCAAATAGGACATAAATCTTTGAATCATCATATTTGCTGTGATGTTAATGAAGGGTTCAGACTATTCCCCGTGTTTTTGGGTATAAAAGAGTCCAGTTGACCCTAAGCGTTGGGCTTGGGCTGTTACAAATGGTATCAGAACCAAACACCGGGCGGTATGCCAGTGAGGACTCTGAGCTTCGAAGGGGGCAGACATCGGGTGTTGTGCCAGTGAGGATGCTGGGCCCCGAAAGGGGATGGATTATGAGATCCCCCATTGGTTGGGGAGGAGAACGAAACATTTTTTATAAGGGTGTAGAAAGCTCTTCCTAGTAGACGCGTTTTAAAAACCTTGAGGGGAAGCCCGAAAGGGAAAGCCTAAAGATAACAATATCTGCTAGCGGTGTGCTTGGACGGTTACAATTTTTGTACCTTCAAATTACGACAAAGTTACATTCTTACTTATTTTATTGTCACTTCTAAATTTGAGTGATGCATATATTTATTTCTACAAGGGTAATAAATATGTTTTTTTTTTCTTAATAGAAGTATGTGTGGTTGTGGTGCTTTTCATAATCTCCTAGTTGTACTAATGCTTTTGTCCTATTTTCTTTTTAGTGATGGACACAAGTCAAGGAGTATGTCTCGATCACCTCAACGACTACGAGACTCCTTTTCACAAGAAAGATTATCTATTAGCCCACGTCGTAGGGACCATCGTGATTCATCCTCTCCTCGACATAGATCATCTGATTCAAGAAGGTCTAGATCTACTTCAAATCGTAAATCTCTTTCTCCAGTAGTGCATCAGTTGCGGTCTCCTTCTCAACATAGTTCACCATCTCCTCATTGTAGATCACCACATCAACTATCTTCGTCTGGGCAACGTCGATCATCGTCACCTGCACAACGAAGGTCACCATCACTTGATAAGCATAATAGATCACCATCACCATCTGAGCATTGCAGGTCACTATCACCAATTAGACACAGTCGTTTACCTTCACCTGCTCGACATCGTAGATCACAATCTCCTGAATGGCATCGTAGATCACCATCTCCTGAATGGCGTCGTAGATCACCATCACCAAAATGGAGTTGTAGGTCACCGTCACCAAGACAACGTCGTAGGTCTCCATCTCCAAGACGACGTCGTAGGTCTCCATCACCAAGACGACATCGTAGGTCTCCATCACCAAGACGACGTCGTAGGTCTCCATCGCCAAGACGACGTCGTAGGTCTCCATCACCAAGACGACGTCGTAGGTCTCCATCACCAAGACGGCGTCACAGGTCTCCATCACCTGTACGACGCCGAAGGTCACCAACTCCTATACGACGTCGAAGGTCACCAACTCCTGTACGACGTCGATGGTCACCATCTCCAATACGAAGTCGAAGGTCACCATCGTCGCCGCGTCATTACAGGTCACCATCTCCACACCGTCGCAAATCACCTTCCCTTGTGCGTCGTCATAGATCGCCATCTCCAGCACACTACCGGAGATCGCCCTCACCTATTAAACACCACCCATCTCGTTCTCCAGGGCAACGCTCTATGTCACCTTCATCCTCACCAATACAGAAATTTGATAGGCCATCACCACATCCTCTAGAACGTAGATCTCCATCATCTCCAGCACGTCTCAAGAGATCAAGCCTTTCTCAACATAGATCCATTTCACCATATGATCAGAATTATTCATCAAAGGAGCGGGGAAACCGATCGCCTGTCAAAGTAAAATCTCCCAGGGTCAGAACCAGGTACTTCTCTTTTCCTGTATTAAGCTTGCATCCTGTGTGATGGTTTCTACCTACTTAGCTGCATGTTATTAATCTGTTGATCAAAACTGCTAGATGGTAAGAGTACTAGCCATCTATAGAACAGTAAATCTGCAGGCTGCTGTTGAAACTTTTTAGTTCTTGAATTTGTGAATTAATTTAACTTGATCTTTAGTGAAGCATCTAAAGAAAATTAGTTTGGATTCTTTTACTATTTGTTTGGCTCATATGATTGTGATTTGCTTTGCTGATGGGTTTTTTGTGATGTCCCACGTTGGTTGGGGAGGAGAACAAACCACCATTTATAAGGGTGTGGAAACCTTCCCCTAGCAGACGTGTTTTAAAGCCTTGAGGGGAAGCCCGAAAGGAAAAGCCCAAAGAGGACAATATTTGCTAACGGTGGATCTGGGTCGTTACAGTTTTATTCATCTGTTTTATGATAAGTTCACTCACCTGGAGTGTTAGTTTATGGACTTGCCCCTGATTCTTTGGAATTTAGAAAGAAATATCAGGAACTAAGGATCCTCGTAGAAGGGTATTCTGTTATTTTAATCGTTTATACGTGAAATTACAGGCCTGTTACTCTTGTTTTTGTTTTATATTTATTTTATAGTGATGAAAGAAGCTACTCACGCCGAGGTAAAGCCAAGGAAACTGAGGCTCGGACTGTCGAAAATAATAAGGGTAGGAAAAGACACAGAAGATCAGACAGGAGTGACACTTCTTCGGAGAGAAGACACAGAAGATTAGACAGGCGTGACACTTATTCGGAGAGAAGACACAGAAGATCAGACAGGCGCGTCACTTCTTCGGAAGACAGCTATGATAGTGAATTGGAGAGGAAGGAGGCCAGGAGAAGGAAGGAGGAGGAGGAGGAGAGGAGGTGTTGGAAGGAGAAGAAGCGACAAAGACGTGAAGAGCATGGACGTAAAAAGGGAAAGCGGCGTGCTGAGAAGACGAAAGCTAAGACTCTCAGTGATGATTGCTCGGACGATGGTCGAGCTGTAAGGGAAGTGTGTCGTCCGAGTGATGGTGCGTATGAGGCCGAGCAGAGAAGGTTAGAGGTCGAGTTGAGGAATAAGGCACTGGAAGCATTCATTGCAAGGAAAGGGAGAAGGCATAATAAATCTTCAGAATAGTCTTTTCCTTCCACATAAGAGCTCTTGATAAATGGTGATTTCTTTGATGTTCATTTGAATGCAAACTCAACACAGATCTTTCTCCTTGCCTTTCTTGAGCTTGTTTTGGAGTTCTTTTAGAATGGCAGCCTTACCTTAGCTACTTAGAGAAAATCGTATCGAATCTTTAGCTCAATGTTGCATAGACGTTTAAAAAGTTAAGTACACTAACTAAACAGACGAACGAGAACAAAACCTAAAATTTAACTTAATTTACGTTTGTAATTAGGATTTGGTAACGGTATCTCCACATTTTGATCGATAGGGAGAGGACCCAAGAGCGGATTTCTCACTAACAGGGAGACAAGAGACGACTTTCAATAAGTGTTAGGGATGAGACGCCTACGAAAGGACTGAAATTTTTGTCGGCATACCAGACATGTCCAGATGTCCATTAGGTTTGAGTTTTTATTACATAATTTAAAAATGAATGAAATATAAAAAATAAAAAATAAAAATCTATTTGTTGTATTTATAATTTTTAAAAAATATCTATGGGTATCTTACAAGCCTTGAAGAAATATCTATTATCTAATGTTTTGAAGGTGCCCAATTTCCAGACGGTCGACATGTCGTTCGCGTCGGAATTTGGAATAGCCTGTGGCATGAAGCCGAAGCATAACGAGAAGGACGCGGACATCTGGAAGGGTCAAAATCCCAAGAGCAACGACGGCTCAACTACGGAGCTTCCATTCAAATTCCCCATGGGATGATTGAAATTTCAAAGCCTTTCACGGAAACATAATTCTGTTCAATCCTTCCGTGATGTGGGCGCTTCGGACCCCCCAATATACCCAATACCCACCTTTGTCCCGCCGCCATTCTTCCGCTCATTCCCCTTCAAAACCCTCAATCTGCTCCGTCTCCTTAAACTCTTCAACCGCTGCAAATTCCAATAAAAATCAGTTGATTCAATCGCTGTGCAAACAGGGCAATCTAAAACAAGCCCTTTTGCTCCTCTCCCATGAATCCAATCCTACCCAACGGACGTGGGAGCTTTTAATCCTCTCCGCCGCTCGCCGGAACTCTCTTTCCGATGGCCTTGACGTCCATCGACGCCTCGTCGATGGGGGATTTGACCAAGATCCTTTCCTGGCCACCAAGCTTATCAATATGTTTTCCGAATTGGAATCTGTTGACAATGTACGTAAGGTGTTCGACAAAACGCGTAAGAGAACTATATTTGTTTGGAATGCGTTGTTTAGAGCTCTTGCGTTGGCGGGTCATGGAAAAGACGTACTGGAATTGTATGCCCAGATGAATATGATGGGAGTTCCTTCTGATAGGTTTACTTATACTTATTTGCTCAAAGCCTGTGCTGCTTCAGAGTGTTTGGTTTCATTTCTCCAGAAGGGTAAGGAAATTCATGCGCATATCTTGAGACATGGGTATGAAGCTCATGTTCATGCAATGACTACTCTGGTGGATATGTACGCAAGGTTTGGGTGTGTTTCTTATGCAGGTGCTGTGTTTGATGAAATGCCTGTGAGAAATGTGGTTTCTTGGAGTGCTATGATTGCGTGCTATGCAAAGAATGGGAAGCCATACGAAGCTTTGGAACTCTTTCGTGAGATGATGCTCAATACCCACGATACCGTGCCGAATTCCGTGACGATGGTCAGCGTACTCCAATCCTGTGCTGCTCTTTCTGCTCTGGAGCAAGGGAAGCTTATCCACGCTTACATTCTTAGGAGGGGTCTTGATTCAATCTTGCCAGTTATAAGTGCTCTTGTGACCATGTATGCAAGATGTGGTAAGCTTGAGTTAGGCCAACTAGTTTTTGACTTTATGCATAAGAGAGATGTTGTCATATGGAATTCCTTGATTTCGAGTTATGGAGTACACGGATATGGAAGAAAAGCAATCGAAATTTTCGAAGAGATGGTTGATCATGGAGTCTCACCCAGTTACATATCATTTGTAAGTGTTTTAGGTGCTTGCAGCCATGCCGGGCTTGTTGAAGAGGGGAAGGAGTTGTTTGAATCCATGGCAAAGAAACATGGTATACAGCCTGGTGAGGAGCACTATGCTTGTATGGTTGATCTTCTTGGGCGTGCGAATCGATTGGACGAAGCAGCCAAGATTGTAGAGGATCTGCGTATTGAACCAGGGCCAAAAGTATGGGGCTCTCTTCTTGGTGCCTGTAGGATTCATTGTCATGTCGAGCTAGCTGAACGAGCAAGCAAAAGGCTTTTCGAGCTCGAACCTACGAATGCCGGGAATTATGTACTCCTAGCCGATGTTTATGCAGAAGCTAACATGTGGGATGAGGTAAAGAGAGTTAGAAAACTACTTGATTCCCGCGAACTACGAAAGGTCCCGGGTAGAAGTTGGATCGAAGTACGAAGGAAGATCTATTCATTTACATCTGTTGATGAGTTTTATCCACAGGCAGAGCAGCTCCATGCCCTGTTAATGAATTTGTCAAATGAGATGAAGCAAAGAGGGTATACCCCACATACTAAAGTGGTGCTGTATGATCTTGATGAGGAAGAAAAGGAAAGGATTGTGTTGGGTCATAGCGAAAAGCTCGCAGTTGCTTTTGGACTCATCAATACAAGCAAGGGGGACACCATAAGGATATCTAAGAACTTGAGGTTATGTGAAGACTGCCATTCTTTCACAAAATTCATTTCGAAGTTTGCTGATATCGAGATTATGGTTCGAGATGTGAATCGCTTCCACCATTTCAAGGACGGAGTTTGCTCGTGTGGAGATTATTGGTAGGTTGTATACTTGCAAATCCTTGCCTTATTATTTGTTTTTGCTAGTACCATTATGATAATCACAGGTGATGCAACAGTTCTATTGGGCAGCTACATAGACATAGTTGAACACTTTCACACACCTTGAAAATTGATTTCTTGAGGCCTGTAGTTTTATTGAGACGTCCTCTAGAGAAAATGCAAAAGAAAATGCATCATTTTGATGTGAAATTGAACCTCCCTTGGGGAAAAGCCTTCTATTTCTGTTCAATGACCCGACCTCCCTCTGCTCTTTCACCATCTGGGCTACCTTTCCTGCCTATGCTATTCTCCCCCAGTGCAGGCCTACCACGTTTCGCGCCTGTGGTGTTTTTCCCATACGATCTTTACCAGTAGTGTCATCCTCCCCGTTGACTGTATGGGCAGATTGTCCTTCGCTGTTGTGTTCTGTTAGGCTATGAATTATAGGAATAAATGTAGTTGAATGAGACAGGAGGCGGGTGCTCTAAAATTACTTTCAATCTCTTGGGCTAAAAAGAAAAAAGAATTTCCATATCAGTTTTAGGGACACCCTTCCCTTCTTTGGAGTTATCCTTCTTCGACGACTCCCTCTATTTTCATTCTGGTCACGGCACATATAGAGAATAGTACGATTCCTCCTAGAGAGACACCTTTGCGAAACCTTCCCCGCCATAGGAGAAATCAAACCTCAAACTCCATTAATGTATGACTTATTTAAGGCGTCCTAGTAAACTAAAGCATGCATTTTTTTCAACCAACTTTTACTTGAATATTGAATTAAACCAAAAGGTTAGTGTCCTAGGAATTGGGATAATCTTGTAATTGTAACTTTTGGTTCTGAGTTAAAAGATAGTCTTAGTTGCTAGTTGGATTTAGTTGTTACTTGGCTTTGGTTCTTGGATTAGGCTGTGTTCTGTTATTTGCTTTTAATGAATAGGTATAGTCTCTTGTATTTTGGTAATGAAAGAAGACAATGTAATCTCCTCGATTTTAGGCTATATCGATGTGAGAAAAACCCTGTCCTCGAACAAGTTGGTGGGTAAGAATAAGCGCGAGTTTGAAATGACTTTCAAGTACTCAAAAGTTGTTTGTAAGTCGTTCAAAAGTCATCCCAAATAAATCTTATGAGACAAGGTTTCTTTTCTGAAGATCTTCCGATCTGGTTCCTCCTTTTGGAGGATTGGTTTCTTTTATGAAAATCTTTTGATCGGCTTCCTCCTTTTGGTGGATTGATTTCTGTTTTGAAAATCTTTCGATTAGGTTCATCCTTTTGGAGGATTGGTTTCTTTTTTGAAGATCTTTCTATCACCTCTTCCATTGGATTGATTTCTTTTCTGAAGATCTTTCGATCAGCTTCCTCCTTTTGGAGGATTGGTTACAAATGGTCGCTCAAGATCTTTTTGTTATAAAATCGACCGAAGATGCCAAAAGGGATTTAGAGAAAAAGACGATGGCATTCAATATTTGTCTTCAAATGAAGTATACTATTCTATCTCCATTACCCTATCGAGTACGTTTAATGAGAACGAATCATTTTTTGTGCTTTGAAGTCTCATTTGAAGAATCGTCTTCTTTGTTAAATTACAATTTGAGGCTCGTGTTGTGTGAGTCTCGTTGAACTTTTCTTCAATTTATTATCGGTTTGGTTCTTAAGTTTTTTTATATGTTTGGTATTTTTACATATTTTTGAATATTTGTATATAAAATTGGAAGTTTAAGATTCTATTAGATAGAAAATTCAATTTTATACTCAATTAATTTATTAAACGGAATCTTATAAATATAATGGTATATTATATTATGTGAATTATTTTCAAAGATTAATTTTATTACTTATGTAGTTGTAATATTATGTGAATTTATTAAACTATTCCAAAGTTTTAGGGAAAAAGCACCATGTTCATATACTATACCACTATTATGTAACGTCATACCATATTTTTATTTCATTTTAACAAATTTTTAATAAGAATAGTTTTTTTAAACAATTTTAAAATTCGTGGCAAGAATAAAAATTAAAAAAATCGGTACATCATAGATTCGGTTTAACCTAATAATTACAATTAGCTTTATTACATAATAATTATAATAATAGCTAAATGAATTTATGATTTACATTAAGCACAATTAAAGATATTCACACCTTTTTCAAAATTTACCATTATAATCTCATAAAGTTTGGAAATTAATTTCATGAATTTTTTTTTCTTTTTTAAAAAGTTTTTAACTACGAAAAATAACATAAATTTATTAATATTATTCATTGTAATAATTTATATAATTTTTTTTTGTTAATATTCTTCCACTTTTTAAAAAAAAAATTAAAAAAAATATATATTTAGCTTTAAAAAAATATTTATAAAATTTAAAAAATAACATTAATCTTTTTTTACGGGATAAAAACGTACCT